ATCATCAGACAGGAAGTTAAGATGATCTGACATCATCAGACAGGAAGCTGAAGCTGTCTGTGTCTCAGGTGACTTTGGTGAGGAACTTCACTCGCAGCCGTGTGAAGGCGGACTGGCTGAGAGGACGATACAGCGGCGTGCGCTCTGCTGATGAGCTCGGGAGGAGCATGACGCCCCTGGACGTCGAGACGTGGGGGGAGATCCTGCAGGCAGAGCTGGATCGGTGATGCTGTCGGAGTTTGACCCACAGCCACTGAAACATTTGACTCTAATGTACATTTTCTTCTTTTATTTTAATGAAAGACAATTGTTCATATAGTTAAGATTTTTTTTTAAAGAAAAAATAATGGAAAATGTTTTGATGTAAATAGAGCTGCAATAAATGCCACATTTGTTAAAAAAAACAATCAGATGTATTGTTTTTTTGTCTAACATGAAATGTATATGAGGCTGTTTCCTGACTGATGGGTTTGATCAACATAAACCTGCAGATTTACCTTAGAAGGAAAATAAAATAAATCTGTTTCATGTTGGTTGAGACTCAAACTCCTGGTGTTTTTCAGGAGTTCAGGATAGGAGGGATCTTCATCCTGAGCAAGGCCCTTAACCCTCACCATCTGCTCCCTAAACAGGTCTCTCTTGAAAATGAGTTCTCGTGACTCAATGAGACCACCTGTATAAATAAAGGGTAAATGAAAAAAATAATAATAATCTGCTTCAGGAACAAATTTGTTTCAAATAAATAAAAACTTATTTTTTTTTCAATGTGATCAATTATTTATTTTTTTTGGTCGTTTTGTGAGCAGGCCCAGAGATTGTATCAGATCTGGACCAGACTTTGATGGTCCAGCAGGAGCAGAACTTCAGACAGCAGGAACCAGATGTTAGGAGCTGTTTGACCTTTGACCCCTTAGGATCATTAAATATATTTGACTCATTTCTTCGTTATATCTGTAAATAAATGAAAGCTGTCAGAGGAAAAAGTGAACAATAAACTACATTATCTAAAGAATCATTTTGGAACCGGCTTACATCATCCCACGCCGGGCTTTTATTCTGAAAGGCTTTCCCGGAAGCAGCGCTCCCTCAGCATCAGTTCGCCCCTCCCCCTCCTCCAGGTGATAGCAGCATCATGGACGACGTCCCGCCGATCATCAGCATCTCCATCTCACTCAGGATCCAGCCCAACGACGGACCAGTTTTCTTCAAGGTGGACGGAACCCGCTTCGGTCAGACCCGAACCATCAAGCTGCTGACCGGGTCCAAGTACCGGATCGAGGTGGCGGTGAAGCCCGGAACCGTGGAGGCCACGTAAGCAGAACCTTCAGTCCCGAACCGGTTTTTACCAGTGCAGTTGATGGACAGGTCCTGGACAGGTGAGACGCGCGCGCGGCCTCCTGTTCCTCGTGCAGGCCGCAGCATCCGAACAGGGCCGTGCTGAGGGCGTTAAAGGCCCGGGGCCGAACCGGAACAACTCTTTTATTATTATTATTAATATTATTAATATTATTAATATTATTAACAATAATAATAATTTAATGATAAATAAATAATCCATTATCTTTACCATCTTCTTCCTTTTCGGGTAATGGGGGGTCACTGGTGCCCAAGTCCAGCTATCACTGTGCGAAAAGTGGAGGACACTCTGGTCTCAAGTCCATCACAGGGACACCTATAGGGACAATTTAGAGTTACTAGTCAGCCTAACATGCATGTTTTTGGTTAGTGGGAGGAAAAAAAAGAGTACTCAGAGAAAATGGGAGAGAATATGCAAACTCCACGCAGAAAGGTCCTGGGTCGGGATTTGAACCAGCGACCATCTCTACCAACTGAGTCACTGTGCTGCCTTGATAAATAAATCAGAGTTGCTGAAATCAAACATGATGTTCTGGTTCTGTCCACCTGAGATGAAACCAGAACAACTGATCCAGAACTTGTTTAAAGAACCATTCCGTGTCTCGGTAACTAAAAGGCAGAATCACCTCATACAATCAAACATCAACTGTAAATGAGTTGTTGTTCTTTATAGTTTTTAAATAAACATAATGTGCTTTGTTTTTTTCTCTAATCTGAGCCTTGTTCAGCTCGTTTAGTTATTGAGAAGCAGGAATGTCCTCCCTCAAACCCAGCAGAACCATCAAACAGAACCTGTGGCACCATCAGAACAGGTCAAGATATTCTTTGATCCATCTTCTAGTTTTCACACACTGTTGGTCTGAGGCTTACTTTTTAATCTGTGTTTCTGCCTGAAGTGCTGCTGCCTTGCTCCTCTCTGCTCGCTACAAAGGCAAAAATCACCATGACAACCAGTGACTCAGCAGCTTCTAGGTCTTCTCTACTACCCAGCATGCTGTTCTTCCTCTGTCTCCATCATGGCCGCCCCCATAGCTCCTTCATGTCGCCTCTAATCGGACCTTTGAGGTTCAGGAGGATTCAGGCGGAGGGTCAGCAGGAAGAGGACTGAACTTGGAGTTTTACAATAAAGCTCGCAGATACGCTTCAAAATAAGAGTCTCTCTGTCACAGCTTAGATTATTATTAATAGAAGTCCTGAGTTCCTGTTGAGAGAAGAATGTTATTGAACGTTGGAATCTTCAACATTCCTGCAGACATGTTGTGTTTTAAAAGTCCTATTTTAAATTTAAATATCTTTTATGATTGTTTTAACTTGCAGTTTTAGTGACAGCTGTCCTGCAGATGACCTTAAGATGACCTTCAGCTGAACTACAGAGGACTTTCAGAAGAACTACAGATGACCTTCAGATGACCTATAGATGAACTTCAGATGACCTATAGATGAACTTCAGATGACCTATAGATGATCTCCAGCTGACCTACAGTACAGATGACCTTCAGGCCTTCACTGAGAACCATGGAACTAATTTTTCTTTAGATGTTTAAATAAAGGTTTTTAGTAGATTTCAGTTCTTCATTTAAATCCTGTTGGTGTTCTGAAGACCCGAGTCCTTCAGTCACAAAGTCTGGACCTGACCTTCCTCCTCTTCTTCATTGCAGCAACATGAACATCGGAGGAATCATCTTTCCTCTGGAGCAGCAGTCCAGAGACGATGAGTCGGTGGTTTATCAGGGACACTACGACACAGAGGGCGTCCCACACACCAAGAGCGGAGACCGTCAACCTGTCCAAGTCAGCATAGAGGTGAGACATCAAAGGGACGGGGGGGGACGAGTTTAAACCTTGAAGGACACATTACAAAAGAACACTGGTAGCTAAGTTAGCTCCAACGTTAGCCTCAGCTCAGTTTGTGACACTCTGAGGATTCTGAAGTTTGTTCAGCGAATAAATGAAAAGAATAAATAAATGTTTAATTTTAACAAAATAAAGTTCAAAAGTCTTAATACAGGAATAGAGACAATGTTAGGACGTTTCTTGTTCTACATTCGGTCCTACAGACTGCTGGTTTCTGTCTTACAGACTGCTGGTAAATAAATAAAACTAAAGGCAAACGGACTGTACTTATATAGCACCTTTCTATCTTATCAAGACACTCAAAGTTCTTTACAACACAGTCTATACCCTCATTTACCCATTCATACAGCTCTCTACTAGATCTATATAACAGCTCTCTACTAGATCTATATAACAGCTCTCTACTAGATCTATATAACAGCTCTCTACTAGATCTATATAACAACTCTCTACTAGATCTATATAACAGCACTACTAGATCTATATAACAGCTCTCTACTAGATCTATATAACAGCACTCTACTAGATCTATATAAAGATAATCAGTGCTTTATCACATTCATACACTGATGGGACACATATCGGAGGCAATGAAGTGTTCAGTGTCTTGCCCAGGGATACTTCGGCATGTGACTGCTGGTGGAGTTGAACCCCCAACTCTCGCATTGGAGGACAACTGCTCTAACCACTCAGCCACAGCCTCCCGAAAAGTGTGAAAGTTCCTAAATCTAAAAGTCTCAGCAGCCCTATTTCGAACGAGCCGAACATTTTGATTTCTGAAGGGCTAAAGTAACACAAAGTTTGCAGAAATAAGCAGATGTCAAAAGACATGCAGTAAATAAAACACGGTGTAAACGCTGACTCAGCAGTCAGACAGGAACCTTGACTAAGCAGTCGCATGAGAACGCTGATTCAGCAGTCGCATGAGAACGCTGATTCAGCAGTCGCATGAGAACGCTGATTCAGCAGTCGCATGAGAACGCTGACTCAGCAGTCGCATGAGAACGCTGACTCAGCAGTCAGACAAGAACTCTTACTCAGCAGTCGGACGAAAAAGCTGACTCATCAATCAGACGAGAACGCTGACTCAGCAGTCAGACAAGAAAGCTGATTCAGCAGTCAGACGATAGCTGATTCAGCAGTCAGACGATAAAGCTGATTCAGCAGTCAGAAGAGAATGCTGACTCAGCAGTCAGAAGAGAATGCTGACTCAGTAGTCAAACAAGAACGCTGATTCAGCAGTCAAACGAGAACACCGATTTAGCAGGCATAGAGAACGCTGACTCAGCGGTCAGACAAGAACGCTGATTCAGCAGACGATAAAGCTGACTCAGCAG